ATTGGTGGGACCCATTCATTTTCATCTCGGCCCTGCTTCCGAAGCACAGCAATGTCCTTGCCTGCTCTCATTCTCTACCTGGCCCCCTCCTGACCAACCTCCACCCATCTCTCCAAAATCCCCCAAAGCAGCATCTGCTCCCCCTGACCTCCAAAGAATGTGGAATTCTTGGATCTGGCATCCCACGATATTCAAATCAGTTTTGTGCCCTCAGGCATGAGTGTAGAGATTTGCTTCTCAGTAATTCATCGGCAAGAAGCAAGAGAATCCATTCTTTAAGGAAGTTTTGCTCTTTCCACTACTTGCTTCATTTTCTTCAAGATGCTACAAAAGAAATTAGGTGCAAATGGCCACCAGGGTTTTTAGTGATTTAACACCAAAAGGGGTTCATAATTCCCTTTCTCTCATTTGATTTTCTTCTTCCCTCCTGGCGTTCTCCAGCTGATATGTCTGAAAATGACTACAGTCAATCTTTTGGGTAACTGGGGAAACAAGTTACCCAAACCAACACATTTTAAGAAAGCGTCTTTCACAACTTGGCCTCCTAGTAATATTAATAATAATATCCTCTTGGGATTTCCCTGGTGGCACAGTGGTTAAGAGTCCACCTCCCAATGCAAGGGACACAGGTTCGAGCCCTGGTCTGGGAAGATCCCACATGCCACAGAGCACCTAAGCCCGTGCGCCACAACTACTGAGCCCGCGCTCTAGAGCCCGCGAGCCACAACTACTGAGGCCGTGCGCCACAACTACTGAAGCCTGAGCACCTAAGAGCCCGTGCTCTGCAACAAGAGAAGCCACCATAATGAGAAGCCTGCACACCACAGCGAAGAATAACCTCCGCTTGCCACAACTAGAGAAAGCCTGCGCACAGCAACAAAGACCCAACGCAGCCAAAAAAAATTTTTTTAATAAAAATAAATGCTTATATGAAAAAGAAAATAATACCCTCTTAGCGAGTGCTTATGTGTCAGGCAGCGTGTAAGCACTTTACATGCGTGCTGTCATCTACAGCTCACAAGTAAACCTTAGGAGGGTTGTGTCTCCCTCCTGTTACAGATGAGGGACCTGAGAACTTGCACAAGAGTTCCACGTTAGGCATTGAAGCCAGGATTCTGCCCACAGGCTTAACCACTATACTTCCTGCCATCTCTAGATCATCTTGTTTCTTTCCCTCTCTCCCAGGGTGTGTGACGCTGAAGATGGAAGAAAGGCTGACGACTCTGGGCTGACATCTACAAAATCCTGCTTGATCCTCTCCCAATCCCTCACACTTAATGGCCTGCTTGAAGGATGCATCCTACAGCACGTTTATGACCCTGGTTTGTGTTCTTGTTTTGCGCCTGATATTTTAATTTCTCTCCAACAGTGGAAGGACTGCTGGGACTAATCTGATGCACAAGAAGAGAAAACCAGGAGTTACTAGTAAGATTAAATTAAATGTAAGCACATTTTTAACAGTGTGTAAAGCATAGTGCTAAGCACTGTTTGAGATGAGCAGACACAAGCCAGGACATCATGGAATTTACAATCTGGTGGGGAGAGAGGATGAGGAATAAGACTACATACATATATACATGAGTTCATGCCAAATATGGTGAATTCCATGAGAAAGGAATAAATGAAGTGCTGTAGGGCTAGAAAGCAGGGAGTGCTCACATTTCCCTGGGGAGCCAGGAATGAGGCCATATGATATAAAAGAATGGCTGAGATGAGAGTAGAAAGCCCCGAGCTTTACTCCAGGCTTGGTCACTGATATACTATTGTACTAATAAGGACTTGGTATTTCTCCTCCCTAGGACAGGCCACATAATTTATAGGACTCAGTACCAAATGAAAATGTGGGGTCCCTTGTTCAAAAATGAAGAATTTCAAGATGGCGAGAGCAAAGCAATACCCAAGTGTGGGACTCTTCTTAGTACGCCCATGAAGCGGGACTTCCCTGAGCTTCTGCTACCCCAGGGGTTACCTTTGGGAGGTGGGGAGGCAGGTCTTACCAGCACCTAGCACATGGCCTGCTACTCAGATGAATCGTGAATGACTGGCGACGACAGTGGGTTGACATGAGTACACATGACGATTTCTTGGGGCACTTTCAGTGTTAAAATGTTATTAGACCATGATTCTGAACACTTCTTGAAGGAGACATTTGAGATGAATCTTGAAGGATAGTAGGATTTTTCTTTCCCTTTATCTTCCCTGTTTCCCTTCCCTTCTGTCCTTTCAGTATTTTCCCATTTATCTCATAAACCCTAATGACATACAGACTGGAACCAGCAGAGGAGTGCAACATTTGAGGGATGACTCAAAGACTGAGGCCTCATTAAAGATTTCCCCAGGCAGTTTCCCACTTACAAGGGAAGGCCTTGCCGAGAGATCAAATCTCCACAAGTAGAGTCTGGTTTTTCATTTTAAGATTATTTTGTTTTATTTTCATTGAACAATTTGATAGATGTTTATGATGAAAAGAATCAGAAAAATATAGATGAGGGAGAAATACTCATAATCCCACAAGAAATAGTTCTAATGAGATTGCAGTGCAAAACTAGTTTTCAACCTACTTTTCTATTCAGGAATATGTTATGAGCATATTTTTGTGTTAATGAGTCAGTATACTTTTTCATTTTTCATGGCTGTATGATATTCTTTCTTATGGTTGTACTGTAATTTTCTTAACCAATCCACTCAAACTGAACATTTGGATTGTTTTTTATTTTTATTTATTTATTTATTTTGCTATTCTAAGTGGTGTTATCCTGAATTTGCTGGGTAGGCAATTTACTTAGTTACTCCAGCAGTTATTTTCCTCCTCTGTGGATAAACTCAAGATAACAGTAGCATTTCTTCCTGGGGTTGCTGTGTGGTATTGGTCAGTTAATGCATGTATGAACGGACAGTTATGGTCAGTTAATATTAAACTGGTCAGTTTATACTCTTAGCATAAATGCATTATACTGCACAGCGGACTAGACATGCAGTCAGCCCTCCCTAAACGCAGGTTTCACACCTGCAGATTCAACCCAATCAAATGTGATCAAATTTTCTTCACAGTTGGTTGAATCCGCAGATGTGAAATGCACCGATTTTGGGGGGCCGACTGTATTCCTTGTACTACTCCATTTTAAATAAGGGACTTGAGCATCCACAGTTTTTGGTATCCATGGGGTCTCCTGGAACAAATCCCCCACAGATACTGAGGGACAAGTGCATTAGCCGTTTCATTACTTTACAGGCCCAGGAGGAACTGCCTCCCTTACATTGTGGTGGAAGTTAATAGTAGAGCCTGCAAAGCCGGACTTCTAGTCTAGTCTTTGCAAAACAGCAAGATGAGGTGCAAGCTGGGGGACACCTGGTCTGGGGGCTCCCTAGATTGAATAGCTTTCTAGTAGTTTCTTGTCTCTTCAGTTGTAGAATAAGTTCCCAGGTGGCTAGGAGACTTCTAATTTTTTTTTTTTCTTTACACAGCAGGGGACAGCAGGTGCTCAGCAAAGACTTGACATTGTTCCTTGACATCCAGGAACCTTAGCAGATGTGTTTCCCATCAGCCTGTGCAGTCATCAAAGCCTTTCTTTCCCTTGCACACACAGCCTGTTACACAGCCTGTTAACCGGGAAGTGCCCTGGCTGAAGATTCTTGCCAAGGGCAGCTGACAAAAATCAGTTCTGTTCAGCCCAAGGGATGATTGCCCCACCTTCAGGGATGCCCCAGGGATGTGGGAAGCTAGGCGTGGAGGGAGCATGTTCCAGGCTGGTTACTTGCTGGCGGTGACCTTGGGCAAGAAGTTTCCCCTCTCTGCGTTCTGTTTTCTTTTTGTAACACTGAGGGGGACTGGAGGAGGTCAGGATGGTATCACAGTGGTTACCTCTGAACCCATCTAGCAAAGTACTCTTCTCCCCACTTGCGCATGACCCTGTTTTGTTTTATTCACCCTATTTTGCACATTGCAGATGATCTTGTTTATTTATTCACTCGTTTATTTGCCTGTCTCCCTCACTAAAATGGAAGCTTCATGAGCGGAGGGGTCTTGTCTGTTGTATTTTCGGCAGTAACCCCAGGGCCTAGTATATGCCTGCCATAGAGCCGCTGAATAAAAATATTACATGAATGAAATCTCAGAGCCTGGGTTCAAATGCTGATTGCACTGGTTTCTGTGTGACTTAGACCAAGCCGCTTAAACCATTTCAGTTTTCCCACTTGAAAAATATGGATTAGTAATAGTGACTATCTTAAAAGACTATGAGGATCAAAAGAGAGAAAAACTAATAAGTTTTAAGCATACTGGCTGACATACAGTATAATAATGATAGTAGCAAACATTTATATAGTGCGACGGCCAGGCACTGATCTAAAGGGTTTACATACGTTAACTATATTAATCTTCTCTATGTCCTGTCCTGCGAAATAGGTACTGGTTATTATACCATTTTAAAGATGAGCAAGCTGGAGCACAGGAGTTGAGTAAGTTATATGTACTCAAGACAGGTTAGCTGTTTTTTTGATGCCTAAGATTCCTTCCCAGCTCCCCGTGGGCGACCCCTCAGAAAGATCAGAGGGCGCCCCGGGCCAGCCTCCCGCCCAGCCCGAGGCCGGCCGGGACAGAAAGGGTTACTGGGACCGCGCGCACGTTCTCGACGGGAGATCCGCGGGCCCGCGCGCCGGGCTCACAATGCTGCGGGGCGGAGCGGCGGGGCGCCTCGTCGCCTCCCATTGGCGCACACGCCCCTTCCTGTCACTGCCGGGTCCGGCACCGCCCCCTAGCACCGCCCACCTCCCAGGAGCCGCCGGAGTGGACGGTTCCAGACGCATGCTAATGAGGGGGCGGCCGCCGCAGCCCATTGGCCGGCCGCGGAGTGTCGGTGAAGTCAGCGCCGAGTCCCAGAAAAACAGAGCGGGGCCAACTGCAGAGTGTAGTGCGAGTTGGGCAGGACGCGCGCAGGCGGCCCGCCCGCCCGGAGACCCGCAAGGTAAGCCCGCGCCAGCGGCCCCTCAGCCCGCGCTCGCCTGATTGTCAGCGCCGGCGCCGGGGGCGTGCGCCGGCCCGGCCCCCGCGGGCGGCGCCTTTGTTCCACGCTCGGAGGAGGCGCGTTTAAAGGGCCAGCTGTTGGAAGGACTTGAGGGACCCCCTCCCCCAGAGCATCCCCCGTGGTCAAGGGGAACACCGTGGTCCCCCTCGGCGGAACCCTCCTTCCTGCCTGCTTGGAGGATCCCCAGTCTTTAAGGGAAAGTTCCCCAGGGTGCGGGGGTTTTGGAGGATTCCAGGTTTTTGTCTTTTTTTATTTTTTGTTTGTTTTTATTGGTGGGTGGGGGTACGTGCGATCATGGCCTCTGCTAGGAGAGAATGTCCGCCTGCTTCAGGCTGGCTGCAATATGGGTGGGTGGAGGAGACATCAACGCCCGCGTGGGTTTGCGCTGTAAAGTGAAACTACCGAGGAGAGGCTCCTCTGCAGTAGCCAGAGGAGGAAGGAGGGAGCGAGCGTCAGGATGGAGGCATCTCAGGTGTGTTCATTCATCAGCATCCCTCTGGAGGAGAGGAAGGCGGGAGGGCAGCACGGACTACCGGTCTGGCCTAGGACCCGCCAGAATGAGAGGGTACGTTTGTGTGTGTGTCCGTGTCCGGGGACGCCGGTGCCTGCTCATCTGCCCATGCTCCTTCATCCCTCAGTGACTGGCAGCTTCTTGCTAGCCAGCTCCTCACCGAGATGAACAGAAAGCAACTCCTTTCTCCGAATTCCCCGGGCATCCCCGGCTCTCCTGTGGCTTCTTTCCGAGGTGGCTTCCTTGATAAGCGCTAGCGCCATTCGGATAGAGGGGGAAAGAGGCTTGAAATCATTACGTTTTATTCACAGGGGAATGTGCTGTCGAATTCTGCATCCCAGTGCATCCGCTGTCGTAAGATGGCTTTGAAATTCACCAGTGCATGCTTTCTTCAGGCAGACAGAATTTATTACGCTATTACATTGCTACATAAAAGCAGAAAGGATCCCACTGAGCGTTGCTCGTTTTATCCAGACCCTGGATTTTCCCAGCATGTTCTGGCTGAGCCTTTGGATTTTTTGTTTTAAACTGAGCGCTGGGATACCCCTCCTGTCACAGGGCCGACCTGCTGAAATCGCCGGAATTGATTTCACCGTCAATAGGAGGGAGGTTCATTTAGAGATATCATGGAGCCTGTCTGGCATGTCAGGCCTCTGACATCACCCCCAACCCCCCACCCCTTGCGCCCTTTTTCTCTCCTAAGTGAAGGCCAGGGAGGGCTTGTCTCCATGCCCCCCTCCTTGGTTTGTGAGCTTCTCTAGATTCAGTTTTGTGTTTTTGATTGGAAAGGTGGCTGGGTTGTGATTCAAGAGAACGGAGTGGATTAAGAGTGGGGTGGGCAGCAGATGGGGACAGCAGCCTCAATGACAGAAAACATATGCTGGACATTTGGGGACTCCAGATCTCCAGCCCTTAGAGACAGGTGAGGTTGATGGGTGTGTGTGGAGCGAGAGGTGTCTGTGTGTGTGTGTGTGTGTGTGTGTGTGTGTGTGTGTTGGCTGTGAGGGAGCGGTGGAGAGGAGGATGCTGCCAGCAATTTTCTGCCCCACCCTCTTGATGCTGCCTTAAATAGCTCCTTGCCATCCAAGCTCTGATGTTTCAGGCTCTTGGCCTGAGGGGAGGGGAGGGGAGGGGAGGGTTGGTCTTTGGGTACCTCTGCCCTGGGCACTGTTAGAGTGGATGGTTAGGAAAGGGTTAGTTCTCCAGGGGTTGTAGAGAGCTCATTTCTCTGCTGGAGGGCGCTGAGTTGAACTAGCTCGGGTGACTTCCCCGCAGGGTATTAGCAACTGAAAAGAAATGCTTTCTTCCCCATAGGGCGAAGAGCTGGGAGGGGATTGTCACCGTCCGTCCGTTTGACACTCACCTGCTGTTGGCCCTTTCCTCCCGTTACCTCCTGCTTTCTTTTATTCTAGTTGGCGAGTTTCTGTGAACTTTTCCGAAGGTACTGGGAATATTGGGAGGTGAGGTAAGAGTTGTGGGAAAGGACTAGCAGATGCTTCTTACTGGCAGAACAAAGAACTGTGCCGCTCTCCCCTTCTCCCCTCTCCAAAATACAGTCCCATATAGATGGCAGTCTGGGGTTTTCTTTGCAGAGAATGAATGGGCAGGGTTCAGGAAGGAGAGCTTGTATTAGGCAGCATTAGTAGTCATCTGGCCATCCAAACTTAGCTCTGGCCCCTCCCCTGGACTTGGAAATAGATTTGCTGTAGAGGGCACTCCCTGGTAATTTGGGATTTAATCTGTCTCTTGAAGAAGGAAACGGATGGTATCACAAAGCTTTGGTGGAGGTCCTATGGACCAAAAGCAGGACAGCTGGCTTTGATCCAGGCTCCAACCTGCTTTGGGCTTTGGGCTAGTGGCTTCCGCTCTCTGGGCCTGTGTCCTTGTTGGGAAAGTGGAGGGCTTTGGGGTAGATTGTTTTCCAGGGTTCCCGACAGCATTACTGTTCTTAGATTCACAAGACAGTTTGTGATGGCATTTCTAGATTCTTTGCTAAGCTGATGTTAAATTCACAGTATTACTCGATGGCACGAAAGAAACATTCCAGGACTCAGCCTTCTGTTGGATTCAGATGCATCTGTTCCTTGATTAGTGTGATTGGTAAGGTTTTGCTGTATCTAAATAATTTAGAGCTAGAACAGCCCAGAGTGAGACACAGCCCCTCAGTGTGGGTGGTTGGTTGGGGAGACCAGGTGGGGTGACAATGCTGAGGAAAGGGAGTTTCTATAATTCATTCTCTCTCCCTGTGTATGTTTAACTCACTGATTTATTTATGGTTGTACAGGTGAATGTTTAGATATTAGAACCTGAGAGTTGGAAGAGACCTCTGTGATTGACAGGTTCAGCCCCCCTCACTGAGGAATTTGAGGGGTTGGGTGGCTCAGCCATTTGTTCAAGGTCACACAGCTAGCAAGATGCAGAGCTGGGCAAAAATCCCAGGTGGATAGATTTTAGGTCTTGTGTTCTAGATACACCTCTTAAGTCCCCTCTTCCTCTGAGAGAAATGATACTAAGATGCGGTAGAGAAAAGCAAGGAGAAATTAGGGGCAGTAGAAGGGAGAGGTTGGGGAAACAGACCAGGTAGGAGGTTGGGGGCAGGTCAGATGAGGAAGGGGAAAACAGACACCAGGCTTGGAGGAAAAAGGGATGGAGCTGGAAGGGGGAGGCTTTATCAGCTGTGAAATAGCAGATTTCTACAGCCCTTAGAGTGAAGTAAGTAAGGAGAGGCTTGGCTTAGACACAGGTTGGGGTAGGTGAACAGAGTCCAGGCCAGGGTTGGGACTGACTTGGAGTCTCTTGGGATCTCTCTGTTGACCCTCAGATTGCAGTGTGTGGTGGAGGCTGATTTAGTTTCAGGGCCAGCTCAGGCCTTTGGAGCCAGTGGGGCAGGCAGAACTTGAACACGTGGAAAGTCAGATGTGCCGGGAGTGATGCTGGAGAATGCTGAGGTGGGAACCCATTCTGCTGAAGTTCCAGTTTTGTTTTGTTTTTTAATTTAAAACTAAAAAAATTTTTCCATGGAATTTTTTTTTCAACTCAAACAGCATTTTCTCCACTGACTCTCATTGGTGCTTTGTACATTTTATGAGATAGCGATTTGTGTGATAGTGTCTCTTGTACTTCCTTTTCAGAGGAGATATTGGAGGTGACTGATTTACTGAACCGTAGCTCATATGGAGGGAGCTTCCGGCCTATGACTTGAGCTAAGCCTCAGAATGTTTAAATGAGCAGTTAAAGAGCTGTGAACAGTGGTTAACCACATTAGTAACCATTCAAAGGCAAGGATAAAAGGTGATAATACTTTGAAGTCTATAGCCCAAGCCTACAGCTGGCCATGTACAGTGTAATTTACTTTGGCCTAGGAAGTCTTTCTGTGGATCCTTTAGTTGTTCCCTCTTTTTGTGTATGGTTACTCATGTCTGTCTGTCTGTCCCTGTATCTTGCTGTCTTCCCATCCTTCTTTTCCCACACCCCCTGCTCTACCTTTCTTTTTCTCTCCTACTATTATACCTTTTTCTTTGACCTCCTCCATCTTTTATTTACTGTCAATAACATAGCTCTGTAGTGTATTTTAATATATTTATTGTGTTATTAAAGTCTCATCCTCTCTGTTCTTAATTTGAAATCAGTTGAGTTCACTTTTTTGAATGTGTGTATATGTGTTTTACACACAAAAAACAAACAAACCAAACCCAATTAAATTGCTTTTTACTTCTGTGTGGCCTTCCATTGATTTTTTTTTCCTCTGCTCCTCTTCTGTGGTCAGTAGTGGCTCTTTACAGAAAAAAAAATTTCCCAGCTCACTGTCACGTGGATATTATTGTTTTTATAACAAAAACAGCTACAACAATAGAAAAAGTTTCCCCCTTGTTTGTGGACACAAGGGACACCCTCTCCCAAGAGATGTGCCCTATTTCTTGACTTCCTTCCATGGAAAGAGTGTCTGCAGCATATTCTCTAACAGGGGCCTGTACTGTAAGGGGTTGGAGGTGCTGATGGGGGAGCTGAGGTTTTATCAGTGATCCTGGTAATGCTTAGAGTGTGGGTGGGAGGGAGACAAGAGAGGAGGACATGTAGGAAAAGTTCAGTGTGGTGGTTTTTCTTTATTTCCCCAGGCAGATCTAACTCATCCGGCAGTAGTAGGACCCAGACCCCTTTGGAAAAGAATGAGATGCTTCTCAACTTTCCCATTCGTGTTGGGACCCAAGGGACATCTTGTGTGACACAGGGAGTGTAGGCAGCCACTGACAGGTTGCTGTTATGAAGTCCCGGGTGCTTTGATGGATGCATGCTATGGTGTTTTAACCTTTCTTCTGACTCTTATTAATTATAGAGAAGACTGAGTCTTGATGCTCAGTGGTCAGCAGATAGTTTAGTGTCTAAAGTGGGCCTCTCAAACAAGAAGTTGCCTTGAAGTCTCCAGTTTTTATGTTAAAAATTCACGTGAGGGGACTTCCTTGGTGGTCCAGTGGGTAAAACTCTGTGCTGCCTATTGCAGGGGGCCTGGGTTCAATCCCTCGTCGGGAAGCCAGATCCCACATGCCTCAACCAAGACCCAGTGCAGCCAAAATAAATAAATATTTTTTAAAAAATTCATGTGAGTTTTGTATTCTGTAATACATCTGTTCTGGTTTTAGTATAAAAGTATTTAAAATGCTTTACTGTTGACTACAGTTGATGGTCCAGGAAAATGCTGTGTTTGTCTGGGGTCTTTGCTTGTCCATGCCTGCCCTAAATATGCACAGCAGGTCCCGGACTCCCTGCCCTAAATATGCACAGCGGGTCCTGGACCCCAGCCAGAGAAGCCAGCAGTGGGGCAGGTGTCACACCTGTGGTGCTGGGATCTGCCCACTCACGCTTTCCTGCTGACTCTGCCAGACCCACTGATGTCCCGTCATTCAGAACTCTTACACGTCCCCCTGGTCTTTGTCCACTCCCCGGAAGGCCTGTTTCTCCTCTGCCCGGCTGACTTCTACTCCTTTCAGACGCCCTCATGTCTCAAAGAGGTGTTTTCTTCCTGTGTTTGCCTTTCAGCAGTAGCTGTTTCCCTGTCTTCTCTACCAGATTGTGAGATCTGGCAAGAGAGAATTTGTTTCAGCTCTTTTTTTTTTTTTTGCGGTACCCGGGCCTCTCACTGTTGTGGCCTCTCCCGTTGCGGAGCACAGGCTCCGGACGCGCAGGCTCAGTGGCCATGACTCACGGGCGCAGCCGCTCCGCGGCATGTGGGATCTTCCCGGACCAGGGCACAAACCCGTGTCCCCTGCATTGGCAGGCGGACTCTCAACCACTGCGCCACCAGGGAAGCCCATATATATATATAGTTTTAAAAGTCAAATAACACTGCAAGCCTTATAAAGAAAGCTGTGTCAGCTCTCCTCATCCTGGTGATCCACTCCCCAGGGTTAGTCACGGAACACGATTTTCTGTTGCTGCAGGAACAAATTACCACCAATGTAGTAGCTTTAAGCAGCACAAATTTAAATTACAGTTCTGTGGGTTAGAAGTCTGAAAAGGGTCTCACTGGGCTAAAATCAAGATGGTAGCAGGGCTGCATTCTCTTCCTTGCGTCTTCCACTTTCTGGAGGCTGCCTGCATTCCTTGGCTCATGAACCCCTTCCAACATCTTCAAAGCCGGCAATGGCCGGTTGAGTCCTCCCATGCATCACTGACCTTCTACCATAGCCACATCTTCCTGACTCCCTTCTCCGTCCCTCTTCCACTTTTAAGGACCCTTGTGATTACTTTGGGCTCACCTGGATAATCTAGGATAATCTCCCTGTTTTAAGTCCATTTGATTAGCAACCTTAATTCCATTTGCAACCTTAATTCCCCTTTGCCATGTACCATGCTTATGGGTTCGGGGATTAGGTTATGGGCATCTTCATCTTTGAGGGACCATTATTCTGTCTACCATAGTCACTTCCAGCCCTTTTAGCTGTTTCTCTTGATATGGCTATTGTCCTGCTATAGACTAGAGGAGCCCTTATTCCCCTCTTCACTCCTCCTCTCCTCACATACTTCCCTTCCTTCATGTCCTCCCAGTGTGGTTATGTCACAGTTTTTGGTTACGATAGTCAATACTTATATTATTTTGACTGTGTAAATAGTGTTCATGGCTGAGCCTTATAGTTGTACTGTAATGAAATTTCCTTTCTTGTATGTCTCTTTTTTTTATTTTTTTGAGTTAATAATTGCTTTTTTTTTCCTATTTAGTTTCCTTTGTACTTATTACTAATTCCCAGTGTTTCTGACGGCATTTTAAAATATCTCTGTTTTATAACACAAGTTCCTTTTTATTTCACTACAGTCTTTTTGTCCTTGGAGACCTCCCTCCCAGAGGCCTCCATCCCTCACCTTTATTCCCTGTTGATTGACCTCTAGGCCTGGGGCATGACTCATCATGGGGATTCCCTCACCTTGCTCTGGGTTGGATCCTCTGTTTCCTATTTCTTGATTTATTCCTCA